ATCACCAGAGCTCTAGCTAAGGAAAATGAATCAGACAGAAATGCTTAGTATCTAAGGAAAATGAACCAGACAGAAATGCTTCTATACTGGAAGTACCAGACAGGTAACAGTGGTAATAAAAAGGAAAGGATATGTGTGAGTTTCTATAGGCAAAAGCAACAGGACTTAGCGTTTACCACAGGGCCTAGGACAGAGCAGGTACCTCAAAATATTGTCTATGTAGCTCCTGAATGACAAGAATAGAAGAATGACCAAAATGATTTCAAGAGTTAGAGGCTGGATGACAAGGAGCTGAAAAGTGCCACTAACATTGTTAAAACAACAAGAAAAAAAAAATCAAGGTTCAGGTATGAAAGGGGAAGAAGACAAGGTACGTAGTTTTGAACCCATGAGTTGGAAATGCTCATAGGCCATGTAAGTGGAAACTGTCATGTGTTTGGAAATGTGATCCAGTGCTAATGAATGAAGTTGGAAGCTTTGGGTATAAATTTTAGAATTTTCCTTCAAAAAAATGGGAATGATTAGATCACTGAGGAAAATACTGTTTGAGTACAGTATAGAAGATGATGTCCAAGGACAGAAAATTAATAGCTATCTACAGTAGGGGGAAAAAAAGATGAGTGAAACCAGGAGAGCCAAGTATCATGAAAATGCAGGAGAAAACAAAGAAGGTGGCAGGCTTATGCCTGCAATCCCAACACTTCGGGAACCCGCGGTGGGAGAATTGCTTTAGATCAGGAATCTGAAGCTGAATGAGCTCTGATTGTACCACTGCACTCTATCCTGGGTGACAGAGCGAGACTCTGCCTCTAAGTAAATAAATTTAAAAAAGAAGGTAGCAGTCATTGGTAGTATCAGATGAGGAAAAGAGGTCAAGTCGAATCAAAAATGAGAAAAAGTGGTCAGATTCAGTAATCAGAAAGGGGACAGATTTAGTAATCACGGCAAGTGCAATAGCTCATGCCTATAATCTCAGCACTTTCAGAGGCTAAGGTAGGAGTTCCAGACCAGCCTGGGCAAGAGTGAGACCCCCATGTCTACATATAAAAATAAAAATTAAATTTTAAAAGAAGAGCAGGAAGAGGACAAAAATGAGACAGGAAATACCGACGAGTGGGTGGTGAGCAAGTGAACACAGCCCCTGCCTTGCCCTCCTCTCTTGGGAAATCTGATGGTGAGGGGATGGCAAGGGATGGAACAGTAAGCAAATGGGCAAAAATATGTAAATGTGCAACCTGGAATTGGCAACTCTGTTGCCTTCCTTATGGGGCTAGAAGTGCCAACAGCGTTCAAGAGCTGAGTTACTAACACATTTGCAGGGAAAGGAGCCAAGAGGATGACAAAGACTGCAGATGCAAGACTCGACGACGGAGCAAGATCTGACATGGGAGAGAAACAGCAGCTAGCTTGCAGTTGGATTTGGAGAGGAAAGGAGGCACTTCTCCCGACCTAGAAAGGGAGGGAAAGTTTAGAGGAAGGAGGATAAGGGTGTGACTAACAGCCTGTATTTTCAGAAAAGTAGGTGACCTAGTTGTCCCTCCTCAACAGAGAATTAACTCGGTGAGAAGCCCCAAAAGCTAGACGCTGGACTGACATAAACATGGCTAGCTTTTTAAGTACTTACGGCAAATATTCTTAAAAAGTATGTTATAACCCCAAGAGGTAGGTACTATTCCTTCCTCCCATTTTAAAAACTTATGCTTCCCTTAAGAGGATATGAAACTTGCCCAAAGCAAACGAGCCTACATTTAAACCCAGATCTAACTGCATGATTTTAAAGCATATTACATCTTGCGGCAAGGGGATAGCAGAGGCCATGAACTTAGGGGCTTACAGGTACGTGTATCTCACCTCCAGCATTGATCTTTGTAAAAAAAAAAACAAATGAACAAAAAATATGGTTTGTGCTTTCTGGACTTTATAATTAAGACTGCATACATATGGGAGAATAATACTGGCAAGAAAGGAAACAGTAGAGAAAATACTTTTCTAATAAGAAATTGCCATTGCTTTAATTCTTTTGGTCTCTTATGATCTATTCTGTTACAGAGACAACTGTGGATACAATTCCCCTTGATCTATAAAACTTAGATTTGAACAAAGTTCCAGACTGGATTTAGATTAAGCCCTGCTCAGTGAAAATCATAAATACACGGACACTACAGTAACTGATATGAAAGAATATAGTAAATCCTCACTTAACATTGTCAATAACTTTTTAGAAACTGTGGTTTTCAGTGAAATAATGTACAATGAAACAAATTTCGTCATCAATATTATTTTAATTTAATTTTGTTTTGTTTTCAAAAGATGGGGTTTCACCGTGTTGGCCAGGCTGGTCGTGAACTCTTGACCTCAGGTGATCCACCCACCTCGGCCTCCCAAAGTGCTAGGATTACAGGCGTGAGCCAACGTGCCCAGCTGTCATCAATATTATAATGAAATGAAGACAACACTGAAACTTTTTTGGGGACCCGCTGTAAGTTGCTTGATCTAATGCCACGGTTTCTTAAGAATCTATCGTTACTCTATAACCATGCTGCTATTCTTTATCCTGATATCTCATTAATTTTTTTTTTTTTGAGACAAGAGTCTTGACCTGTTACTGAAGCTGGAGTGCAGAAGCAGTGGGTGTGATCTCGGCTAAGCGCAGCCTTGACCTCCCAGGTTCAAGCCATTCTCCTGGTTCCCAAGCAGCTGGGACTACAGTCATCCACCACCACTCCCAGCTAATTTTTGTTATTTTTAATTGAGACAGGGTTTCATCACGTTGGCTAGGGGGCTCTGGAACTCCTAACCTCAGGTGATCCATCCACCATGGCCTCCCAAAGTGCTGGGGTTACAGGCGTGAGCCACCGTGCCTGGTCAAAATATTTTTAAAAACCTTTATAGTAGGTATAAGCATGAGAAACTGAAAAAACCAGTTTGTGACATTTCTATTTTTTGTTTTGTTCTGTTTTGTTTTGGAGACAGAGCATTGCCCTGTTGCCAGGCTGGAGTGCAGTGGTGAAGTTTCTCGGCTCACTGGAGCCTCCCTTTCCCAGGTTCAAGTGATTCTCTTGCCTTAGCCTCCCGAGCAGCTGGGATTACAAGCGCCCGCCACCACTCCTGGCTAATTTTTGTATTTTAGTAGAGACAGGGTTTTATCACGTTGGCCAGGCTGGCTGCAAACTCCTGACCTCAGTGATATGACTGCCTAGGCCTCCCCAAATTCTGGGATCACAGGCGTGAGCCACCGCACCTGGCCTACATTTTTAATCTTAAAAAAATAAATAAATAAAATAAAAATGACCTTTCTGTGTTGCTGAGTTTTTTGTTTGAAGAGATGGGTGTCACCGTGTTCCCTAGGTTGGTCAAGCGAACCTCCCACTTCGGTCTCCCGAAGTGCTGGGATCACAGGCCTGAGCCAGCGCGCCTGGCCTGCGGAGCGTGTCTAATCACACACTCGGATGAACGGCAGGAAAGGAGCCTCGGAAGCAGGCGAGTCGTCTCGGGAGCTCAAGCTTCTTTTGGAGGAGGACTCGGACAGCCGTGACCGGCTGGGAAGGCGGGGAAAGGGCCACCGGTCGGGGCCTGCAGGCAGCTTTCACAGCTCTGCAGCACGCCTGCAGGCCCAGCTGCCCGCGAGGCCGAGGCTGGAGACTCGCCCGCGCCCGGGAGGCGGAGGCTGCAGAGCGCCGAGAGGACGCCGCCGCAGCCCGGCCCGGAAGACAGGCCGGGGCGGGGCCTCACCGCCCGCCCGCCCGCGCCCCGCGACGCGCGCCCCGAGGCCAGCCCTCCGCGCCGGGAGGAGAGGCGCCGGAACCCCGCCTGCGGGGACGCCGGGCCGTGCGCCGGCCGCGGGGTGCGGCCGAACGGAAGCGCCTCGGTCGGCCGCCGCCCGGCTCGGGTTCCCCGCCCCGCAGGGACGCCGGCGTTTCACAGCGACCTTCCCGGCCCGCACGAGGCGGACACGCCTTTTTGTTTGTTCTCAGCGACTTCTCGCGTCGCGCCCTTGGCGGCCGCTTCCAAAGCGACACGGTCCCGAGCACGCGAAGGCTGAGTGTTAGCTGCCCGCGTTCCCGGGGCGCGAGGAGGCTCCGGCCCCGGCCCCAAGCCCTTCCTTTCCGAACGCCCGCTCCGCCCCACCGCGGCCGGGGCCGGTGGCACGCTCGGCCTGGGAGCGCCGCGGCTGCCGGCGGGTGAAAGCGCTCCTCCCGCGTCCGCGAGGGCTCTGCTCGCTCCTCGCCCCGGTCTCGTCTCCACGTGGACGCTGCCGCTGCCGCTGCCGCTGCCGCTCGCCCACACGGACGCACGGACACGGTCGCGGGAGGCTGCGCACCCCGCGGGGGACCCGGGCCCCAGGGCGGCGGGCCGGCCAGGCGCGGAGGCGGGGCCGCTCCTGCAGGCCCGGGAGTCCGCAAAACGCGCCTCCAGCCGGGACCGAGGCGAGACGCTCGCGGACCTTGGCTTGGGGGTGGCGGCTGCAGGAAGAAAGCAGCCGCGAGACCCCGAGGCCCCGGCGACGACCGTTAGCCGGGCTGAAAGTCATTCCACTTCCGGCGCACGCGCGGCGTGCCGAGGGCAGCTTCCGGTTTCCAGCCTCCGCCCGGCCGCGGCCTTCCGCCCCACCTCCAGGCGGGTGCCTCCTCTGGGCCCCGCCCCCCGCCCCCAGGCCCCGCCCCCAGGCCCCGCCCCCCGAGCCGCGGCCGCCCGCCGCCCCTGCCCCGTTCCACGGCATTGTTGGATTGTGGCGCCGCACTCCCGCCGGCGGCCGGCAGGGGGCGGAGTCCGAGCCCGGGTTTTTCCGCGGGGCGTCCCCCGGGAGGCAGTCCCGGCGTGGGGGAAGGGAGGGCGGGGCGCGAGGACGCGGCTCCGGCGGCTGCGGCGTTACTTGTGGTCGGAGCTCGGCGGGGAGGCCGCGGCGGCCGCATCAGCGCTGACGTGGGGACGACGTGCGGCCGCTGCCGGCGCCGGGTCGCTGGGCGGCGGCGCCGCGGCGGAGCGGCGGTCGGGCTCGGCGTCTCCACCTCCTCGCGTCCGTAATCAGTGACGAGTCCGCTACGTAAATCCCTTCGCGGCGGGTAAGTGGCGCGCCGGCCGCGGCCCCGAGACCCGGCAGCCGGCGACGCGGCGCAGGAGGCGGAGGCAGGAGGCAGGAGGCGGAGGCAGCGGCGGGCGGGGCCGGGGCCGGGACCCCGGGGCCGGGCCGGGGGCGGCGGGGCAGCCGCGAGTGGCCCCGGCGCGGCCGCCCCGCCGTCCCGGCCCCCGCCGGCCGCCCCGCGAACTCGGGGCGAGGCGGAAAGTCCTCCCCTGCGGCGCGGGCGAGCGCTGTGACCCGGGAAAGGCAAAGGCGGGCGGGGGCCGGGGGGCGGGGCCTCGGGGCGCCCCGGCGGCTCCCGGGAGGCTCCCCGCGCCCGCTCCGTCTGGGGAAGGGACGCGCTCCCGCCGCGTCCTCCTCGCGTACCGGGCGCCTGAGCCTGAAACCACGCGGGGTCCCCGCGCGCTGCCCGGCGAAGCCGCTGTCGCGGTGGGATCAGAGGTTCGGAGACGGGGACTTCCGTGCCGGTCTCGGGGTCGCCCCTTCGCGGGCGGCTTCCTGCGGGGCCGCGTGTCCTGTCGGCTGGAGCGGCCGGGCGGAGGCGCGCGCGCCGTTCCCGCGAGACGGAAGCCTGCTGTGCGGCGCGGGCTCCGCGCGGAGCGCGGCGGGAGGGGACACGGCCTGTCCACGCTGCGTCTTGTTTTGCTTTGCTTGGAGCAGCACGTTTTTTTCCTAGTCTTGATTCTCTTTACGGATAGCAAACTTTTCCTTCCTGAGTCGTGGTAGTCTGAAAAGTCTTTGAGTCTAAAGTGACTTTTTTCCTAAAGAAAGGCAAATTGCACACGATATGTTTTGGCTAGTAAATGCTAAGTATTAAAACTGGTGTTTAAAGAACTACGTATTGATCCCGACACAGCTTTATAAAATATGTTAAAATGGTTTTGATCCTGAATAAATAAATTTAAAGCATTGTCAATATTCACACAACTTTGGCGAATCTGTAAATAGATCAACATAACACATACTTTCCCAGTGACTTGGTGAGGGATATGGAGTCATTTTGGTGAGTGTTAAGTTGTGATTATGGTGATCTTTGTGTATATTTTTTCGTCATGCTGTATGAATAAATTTTTACTGAATGCATAGATACAGAGGACATTTTTAGTCTTTTTGTTTTTGCATTGTCCCTGAAAGTTGAAATTTGCTTCTACCTACGAATTTTAACAAACTCTGGAATCCATAGGCTATATTCCAGTTTCCTACGCGGGTGAGTTACTGCCTAATCAAAATAGAAAATCTTTTTTAGGGTTATGACCATTTCATGAAAAGTAGGAAAGAGTTTCGTTTATTATCATACATCAGGAATCCTGACTGAAGGTTTACCAATGTAGACATATATTTCTGATCCTTTTTTTCCTAAGTTGTGTTCCCTGAAAATTAAGTATTAGGCCAGAATATTTAGCTAGGTTTATTGTTGAAGTGGATAGTCCTACTGAAAAGCTCTCAAACGTCCTGTTCCTTTTAGACAGACTTTTTAAAACTCAACAGTGCAAACACTTAATAGTTGAGACATTGAGAGACTTTTTTTTTTTTTTTTTTTTTTTTTTTTGGCCGGGTGAAGTGGCTCACGCCTGTAATCCTAGCATTTTGGGAGGCCGAGGTGGGGGGGAATCACCTGAGGTCAGGAGTTCAAGACCAGCCTGGCCATCAGGGTGAAACCTCATCTTTAAAAAAAAAAAAAAGAGAGAGAGACTTTTTAAGAGCAGTTTTAGAATCATTGATATTTTTATATTTCCTTATCAACGTTGGTTGATAAGGACCACGTGCTCACGCCTGTAATCCCAGCAAATTACTTGGCTTGAAATCACTTAGGGGTTTCCTGCAAGCTGCTCAGCGAAGCAGCTTCAGTTTGTAACCAGATTTCAAGAAATTGTGACTTACAGTGTCAGTCTCAAAGTGTCACGGAACTGAAAAGAGCCCCTTTAACAGGGTGGCTTACCTACGTGACTAAGTTTCCTTTTCTACTTAATTTGCCGGGCGGATGAGGCCCAGGCGGGCGGATCACAAGGTCAGGAGATCGAGACCATCCTGGCCAACATGGTGAAACCCTGTCTCTATTTGAAAAAAAAAAGCCTGGGGGAGCTGGCGTGAGCCTTTAGTCCCAGCTACTTATGAGGCCGAGGCAGGAGAATTGCTGGAATCCGGGAGGTGGAGGCCGTGGGGAAGCGAGGTAGAGCCACTGCACTGCAGCGTGGGCAACAGAGCGAGACTCCGTCTCAAAAAAAAAAGGAAACGAAAAACATTGGTTGATAAGGAAATAAGGCTGAAATGTCGGAATTTTATTGTTTCTACTTCGTTTAACTGATGGATTCTATACGTAAAAGTCAGCTTTGAAAAGAATTACCGTATATTGAATACAGTTTTGGTATTATCAACACAGGAACTTAAAAAATACAGATTTTAGGAAAAATGAATCTCATTACATAATAGGTAGAAATGAACATTTTAAATAATTATGTTAATAATCTCCTTTTAGAGAATACATTTTCAACACCTTTTGCGATGGGAACTCCACAACACAGACGCTGCTCTTAAGCACAAATGCTTTTACTTCCAGGTTCTCATTGTTTGATACTCTATATCCAGTAGAGAATAAGTAAGAACAAAGAAGAAAACCTAAGGATATCATTAGTGGAAATTTTTCTTGCTATTACTTATGAAGATGCCTTAAGTCTTATTGCGCTGAATAATGGCGTTTTGGTCAATGATGGACTGCATGTATGTCACGTAAGATTATAATGGAGCTGAAGAATTCCTGTCACCTAGTGATGTCCTAGCTGTCCTAATGTCATAGGGCAGCATACTACCTTTCTGTCTTTAGGTGTGTTTAGACACACAAATGCTTTCTACTGTGTTCTAATCGCCTGCAGTATACAACAGTAACATGTTGTACGGGTTTGGAACCTAGGAGAAACAGGCTGTCATTTCGCCTAGGTGTGTAGTCGGTTACACGATCTAGATTTTTTTTTTTTTTTTTTTTGGAGACGGAGTTTCGCTCTTGTTACCCAGGCTGGAGTGCAATGGCGCGATCTCGGCTCACCACAACCTCCGCCTCCTGGGCTCAGGCAATTCTCCTGCCTCAGCCTCCTGAGTAGCTGGGATTACAGGCACGCGCCACCATGCCCAGCTACTTTTTTGTATTTTCAGTAGAGACGGGGTTTCACCATGTTGACCAGGATGGTCTCGATCTCTTGACCTCGTGATTCACCCGCCTCGGCCTCCCAAAGTGCTGGGATTACAGGCATGAGCCACCATGCCCAGCGAATTTTTTGTATTTTTAGTAGAGACGGGGTTTCACCATGTTGACCAGGAGGGTCTCGATCTCTTGACCTCGTGATCCACCCGCCTCGGCCTCCCAAAGTGCTGGGATTACAGGCTTGAGCCACCGCGCCCGGCCCCTGTGAACTTTTAAGAGTGGAGCCAATGTGATGCTAATGTTTTCCTTGAGAATTTCACAAAATAAAATCAATTTGTTCAAACTTATCTGGATAAAGTTTTTTTGTTTTTTGTTTTTTAACATAGCAGACGTAAGTAATCTAACTTAGAATAGCAAAATAGCAGATAGTTTATATTCTTAACCTCGATCTTTTTCATTGATAGCACAAAAATGATTTTTTTTTTTACTTAGAAATGTTTTTAACTGGACTGTATATCTTTGCACTGATTATGGTGGAAGTGTTTACCTTTGGAATTATGGCAACTATATTATACATACATTACTGAATATGGATGCTTGGAATGTTTTTACTCTTAAAATTTCTGGAGGAGTTGAATTAGGCATGTTTCTACACTTAGAAAGATACAGGTTTTGTTTAGATGTGTAACATAGTACCAATCTGTGTAAGCAAAATAATGATAAAATTCTTTTCTCTGATCTTAAGCTAATTCAGGTAGTTTATCTACTCTCTCTGATTTACTCTTTAGTAGTTAATGCATTTATCCTTAATATGTAGATAGGTGTTTTTGAAATGTACTTAATGTACAGTAAAGAGCAGGCTGTTGAAAAGAAAAACCTTACAGTGAGCCTAGTCAAGCAAGTAACTCCCCCAAAAGTTTTAAAATTTGGTTTCCCATCAAGTGGTGGTAGTGGGGGAGGGCGGTATTTGAAAGGTTGGAAATAGGCCATGATATTTGAATTTTATTTTTAATTTCCTCCTCAGCAGCTGATTTTGTAGTTCATTGACTCTGAAATAGCCAAAAGCAGGCAGCAAGAGGGAAATGAACTGAAAAAGGGACACTTAGTGAATAGTTACTCCTTTAGTGATTTTAGTAAAGAGTTAAGATTTCTTAATAACAGGTGTCTCAAGCAATTAAATTGGAGTAGCCTTGCATCCGTTTGAGAGAGTCTCCTGAATTTATGTATAATTCATGTTTGAAATATTAAAGACATTTACAAGTGTTTGGAATATTTATGACTATCGCTCTTGGCTATTTTGTTTTTATGTGAAAGTGTAATGATTGCTTTTTGAAAGTTACTGTAACTTTGCTTCACAAACAGCATAAGACTAATGGTGTAATTTCATGTTGCTGCTTTCTCGCTTTGTTTTTCCTGTATGCATCTCCTTCCTCTGAAATGCATAACCATAGCCTCATCCCTGTCAGTTTCAGCTGCATGTCTGTTTAGAATTATTTATCGCTTATAATTAGTCCCACCTTCTCCCAATTTTTTAATCAACTTGGTTGAGAAGGACCAGCTTTACAATATGAGCTTCATTTTCTTTCAAGCTTTGCTATTGCTACTTAAATGACAGTTAACCTATGGATAATCTACTTTTGCAAAGAACTAAAACCATGCTTCATGACAGAACCAAAGAAACAGATTATCTTTCTCTGTGTTCTCTTTCTCTTCCTGCTTTTGTAAAAGGTGCGATGCCTTTTATTCCACATTACTTTCTTTTTCTTTTGGGTATGCTAATTGCAGTGCTTTCAGTTTTTCTTCTGTTTCTTTTTTTTAGCCTTTCAGAAACCATCTCATAATGCATAATTTTCAGTTTACATTTTTGGGTTTTTGAAAGTGGAGTAAGAACTTAGATTGTTTGGCAAGTGTCTTGTAAAGAATTCTTAATATTTCTAGTATTTCATAGTTATCTCCAATTGCAATATCTAGTCCAAAAGCAGATTTTTTTTTTTTTTATTACAGAGTCTCACTCTGTTGCCCAGGCTGGAGTGCAATGGTGTGATCTCATCTTACTTCAGCTTCCGCCTCCTGGGTTCAAACGATTCATGATTCTCCTGCTCAGCCTCCCGAATAGCTGGCATTACAGGCGCCCGCCACCGTGTCTGGCTCATTTTTGTATTTTTTGTGGAGATGGGGTTTCACCATGTTGGCCAGGCTGGTCTCCGGCTCCTGACCTCATGTGATCCACCCACTTTGGCCTCCCAAAGTGCTGAGATTACAGGTGTGAGCCACGGCACCCAGCAGCCAAAAGCAGATGTTTTTAATTGGGGGGAGGGTGCAAAACTGTCTTTATTGTCTTCCCAAAGTGTTCAACTTAGTTTTCAGAGAAACAGTTCTCTTTTTGAATCATTTAATCTACTTAGTCATTTTATCTAATGTACTATTTTAACAAAATTACAAAATTGCAACAAGGCTGGCCTAATGAGGTTTGGCGGCAAAGACAGCTAACTCTTGGTAAGCGCCCATTAGTGTGAGGGTGTGGCAACTAATGGGTTATACAGTTTTTAAGGAGGTAAGATGTCCCTATGTAAAATGCTAGCGTAGTATAACAGAATAAGGTTTATTCTGAGAGTGGCATCAGTGCTGCTTTTTGTTCCTGTTGTGAGGAGCCTGTTTAAGTGCCCTACTGTCTCTTGTCCCTATGCTGGGGGCAGATGGTAGCAGTAGTGACCATTGCCTTAGTGGCCTTAGTGCCCCTAGTGTGAGGTGTGGTAAACCTGCCTGCTGTCTGCAGTTCCAAAATTGACTGGGATTGTATGACATCATTTTAGAGGGTCCCTTTAGGAGGGAACTCTGAAAGCCGTGTGTCTGTCTAAGCACCGCTGTTGCTGGCAGAGGTACCTAGTGGTTACTTAAGGAAGAGCACGATTGTTCTCTCCAGCTCTAAAATAAATTAAGGACTCTGAGATTTTTTTTTTTTTTTTTTAGACTGTGTCTCAAAAGACTTTAGGTCTGCGAATGAATGGTCTTGCTCCGTCAGCTAGGCTGGAATCCACTGGTGCAAATCCTGCCCCCTGCAGCCTCAACCTTCTGTGCTAAAGTGATTCTCCCTCCTCAGCCTCTTAAGTAGCTGGACTACAGGCCTGTACCACCATACCTGGTCAGTTTTTTTGTAGAGACAAAGTGTCTCTATGTTGCCCAGGCTTGTCTCGAACTCCTGAGTTCAAGCAAACCTGCTGCCTCAGCCTCCCACAGTGCCAGGATTACAGGTGTGAGCCACCAGGTCTGCCTCAGCCTCCCACAGTGCCAGGATTACAGGTGTGAGCCACCAGGTCTGCCTCAGCCTCCCACAGTGCCAGGATTACAGGTGTGAGCCACCAGGTCTGCCTCAGCCTCCCACAGTGCCAGGATTACAGGTGTGAGCCACCAGGTCTGCCTCAGATGTTCTTTTGTCTTTTTATTTGCCGGTTTTACTTCATTCCACATGTCAAATGGATATTTTTAAAGATGTTAGTAAAAAATAAAGGATGCTTAATTGCTCCAGTGTCTAAACTAGGATTTTTATGGATTGAAGACTATCAGAAGGATGTTTTAAATAAACTTACTTCGTTTGGAGTTTAATTTTTTGACAAAAACTCAAGTTGGAATTTAAGGTAAATGAAAATTTTATTGCATTGGAGTGAAAAAATTTAAGGAAATAATAAATTCATTAAGTTTATTAAATGATCATTACTTCTTAAAAATAGAGCTGATACGTATAAGCGATACTTAGTATCAGATGATTTAGATAGCACTGCTTTCTCTTCAGTAGAAAATAATCAGAAAAATAGTGCATCATTTCAGCTTTGTCCGTTTTTTTCCCTAGGAAGATAAGAAAAATACAGTAGAAGTAAGACTGACAGAAAGCAGTACAGGGCTGTTTTCAGCTTTCTAGTATTTATGTTTTTTGGGGGGAGGGGGTGCAGTTTGTATTTTTAGTTTTATAGAAATTAGAATATTCTTCCTGGCCTTGTTTTGAGAAGTAAATTGTAATTTAAGTAAAATTTGAGAGTTTTTTGAAGTAAAATGTTATGATCTCCCAATTCAACATTGTAATTTTACTGCAGGATAAATAAAGAAAACGGGGAAGGAGGAAAGCATTGATTACAAATGCCTTAACAATGAGCAAATGTGCAAAGAAAAAATATATTAAGACAAATCTAAGGTAGGTAGATGTATGTTTTTCTGTTCTTTTGAAAATTCTACTTAGCTTAAAATTAAAGATGAATAAATTGATACATAGATGTACACATATATGCCTGTATGTATTTATATTATAATATATAGTCAGATTATTCAGCCATTCACTTAAGGCACCATCTACCTGTGTACCATGTTAGGCACTGCAGGGAATGTGTGGGTATTTATAGCTGGCTTATGCTAAGTATTAGTCTTTTCAGTTAGAAAGTAGACCATATATGAGGATGTCGATATTTCAGTGGAATTGTAGAATTCAGAGAGTCTCCAGGGTTTTATTCTTCCTCCTGGCCTTTTGGCCATATTTGTACCTAACTTTATAAAACAGAATGGTCTCTACCAACATTTTACAGTTATCCAAATAGAATTTTTCAAGTTTTCTTTTGATTACTTTCAGAGACATTCTGTTTCATCAGTTGGATGTACTGCTAAAGAGAAAATTGATTTTCTGAGATACTTTTTTATAAAGTTACTTAAAAGAATAGAAACGACTTTAATAACTTTTCCTTTCCCAATTGGATTCTATTTTTAGAAGAGGTGAAACAATTTTTCAAGGGTAATACAGTTGCTCTGCAGTATAATTTGTCTTAGAAAATTGGATACAACTAAAATTTTAGATTTTTTTTTTTGAGAAAGTCTCACTCTGTTACCCAGGCTGGAGTGCGGTGGCCTGATGTCAGCTCACTGCAGCCTCTGCCTCCCAGGTTCAAGGGATTCTCCTGCCTCAGCCACCCAAGTAGCTGGGATTACAGGTGAGTGCCACTATGCCCAGCTAATTTTTTTTGTATTGTGTATTAAAAAATTTTTTTATTAAAAAATTCTTTCTGGGCTGGGTGTGGTGGCTCAAGCCTGTAATTCCAGCACTTTGGGAGAACCAAGGTGGGATAATTGCTTGAGGCCAGGTGTTAAAGACCAGCCTGGGGAAAAGAAAAAAAGACGAGAGAAGAGAAGACCAGCCTGGATGATATAGCAAGATCCTGTCTCTCAGGAAAAAAAAAATCATTTTTAATGGAGGGTCCCATTTAAAAAAAAAATAGCTAGATTAATATTTTATTAATTTGGATCCCAATATATTCAAAACAGGTTGGCATAATATTTGCTTTTCTATCAAAGGAGAGAAATGTTTGATAAATAGTGTAAAGGAGATTTCAGAAGAAACATTTAACTTCAAAAGAAAATAGTGATGCTGCTATTATTAGTTGTTTGTAAGTTTAAATATCCCCATTTTAGCAAAAAATGTTTTTTTCAGACACAGTTTCGCACTGTTGCCCGGGCTGGAGTGCAGTGGCACAATCTTGGCTCACTGTAACCTCTGTCTCAGGTTCAAGCAATTCTTGTGCTTCAGCCTCTCGAGTAGCTAGGATTATAGGCGTGTGCTACCATGCCTGGCTAATTTTTGTATTATTAGTAAAGATAGAGTTTTACCATGTTGACCAGGCCGGTCTCTGAACTGCTGACCTCAGGTGATTCACCCACCTATGCCTTCCAAAATACTGGGATTACAGGCATGAGTCACCATGCCCAGCCCCCATTTTAGCAATTTTTTACCTGGTTTTTAGAATTGCGGAACCAAATATTTCCCGGTATTTTGCCTGTTGTTAATTTATAGTGCTTAGTGGACTTTTTTGTTTTAGTTTCTATGGTTTTATACTTGCATGTTTTTATTTTTAAATATTCTGTAATCCATAATTGCCAGTTGGTTCTTTTCTCTCTAAAAAGGATTATTGTTTAAGATTAAAAAAAAAATACTACGTAGTTAATTAAAGACTGTTAGTTTTAGTACAACTGTGATAGAAAGTGAGATTTGGGGAAATAGGTTCTATGAGACCTCTCTTCATTTTAAACATATTTAGCTATAGATTATATAGTGAAACTAATGTAAGATTATAATGGAGTCTTTATAAATTCTATCTGGAGCAGCTGTGGGTGATTTATAGATGTTAATGTTGTATGTATGTCATTTACAGCTGAGTTTGGGGTCCTGCATTTTCTGCTGAGACAGTGCTTGAAAAATGCCTGGTACAGTGCTTGACCCATGTTGAGCACTGAAATGTTGGTTGAATCTTCGGCACTGAGTCCCTCGTAGGAGTTGGGTTTTAGTGGGCTTAGAAGGTTGTACTGGAGAGCAGTTGGATATAGATCTGCAGAATGACCTGGCTTGAAAATGATAGCATCTCTATTTTAAGTTGCTAGTGTCACCCTTACCTTTTTGTAGATGATTTTTACCCCCAAAAAATAATAATTTGATATCAAACTTTTACTGAATGGCATGAACTGAACACCGTGCTAGGTGCTCTAGCAGAATACTGATGGAATAAAATGACAATCCATAAGTTTGGTGTGAAAGAGAAAGCGTATGTGAGTGAGATTGTGGCAACCATTGCAGCATACTCCAAACGATGATACATCACTGTTGAATGTCGTCCAAACTGGAATATGCAGGGCACTGGCTGTGGAAGGGACCCTGGAGTCATAGTCACAAGACCTCTTTTTCATCCCTCCTGATGCTACCTATTATGTTGCCTGTAAAAGTCCCCTAATCTCTCTGAACTTTTTTTTGTTTTGTTTTTTGAGACACAGTTTCGCTCTTGTTGCCTAGGCTGGAGTGCAATGGCACCATCTCTGCTTACCACAACCTCTGCCTCCTGGGTTCAAGCGATTTTCCTACCTCAGCCTCCTGAGTAGCTGGGATTACAGGCATGCACCACCACACCAGGCTAATTTTGTATTTTTAGTAGAGTAGGAGTTTCCATGTTGGTTAGGCTGGTCTCAAACTCCCGACCTCAGATGATCTGCCCAACTCAGCCTCCCAAAGGGCTGGGATTACAGGCATGAACCACCGCGCCCAGCCCTAAAAGTTATTTTTATCATAATGACATCTGACAGTTGCACAGTCTTCCAGAATAACTGGATAATTGGTTTATTTAGCATATACCGTACTAGGTACTGGGCATGCATGGGAATCTGTAAGATGTGATCCCTGTCCCTGAGTTGCTAATGCTGTTGTGTGAATACATGTATTATATGCTAGACAAGTGTTATAACGGATTTGTAAAATGCTTCGGATACTCAAAAGAGAGAATTCTGCCCATGGCTATCAGAATAGACTTTTGAAAGTTGGTGTCCTTGAACCAGGCCTTGACAAGCTAGTTAGAATTTGCCAGTTGGACAAAGAAGGGGTAAAGGCCGTTTCAAGAAGAGGGGAGAATAGATGTAAAAGATTAAAACTGGGAGAGTAAGATATGTACTTGGATAAATGGCTGGCATGCAGCGTGTTGGAAAGAGTAGAGGGACTGGAGATTAGGCTGTAGAACTAAAACGGGTCACACCGTGAAAGAGATCGAATGGCAGTGTGGTTTGGTAATGGAGAATACGGACTTTGGTTCAAAACCTGGCTATGCCACTTAATACCTTTGTGGTAAGATCAGATTCTTAACCTCCCTGAGTCTCCTTTTTCTTATTTCTAAAAGAAGAACTAATCATTTTTTATTTTCTGAGACAGTTGCGCTCTGTTGCCCAGGCTGGAAGAATACCTGATCATAGTGACCTTATAGAGTTGTTAACCAAAACTTCTAGGCCTTTACCACATGGTAAACGCTCAATAAATGGTAGTTATGGTTACGAGAATTAGAAGTTTGGATTTTATCCTATAGTCCACAGGGAGCTACTGAAGCATTTTAAGCAAAGAAGTGTTTTAAGCAGAAATAGATGTTTTAGAAACATAACTGTTGGCATGGATTGGAGCCAGGAGATAGAGTGGTGGCCGAGGAAATGCAGAGAAGACTTAATTGTTCTTTAGAAGGTAGAACCATCATACCTGGTGATGATGCTGTATGGAAGTTTCAGGGGTTTCTGGCTTGAACAGTTGGTTGGATGGTGGGGTCCCATTTCCTGAGACAGGAAACTCAGAAGGGTGAAACGTTTGTGGAGGAAGAAGAGGAGTTTAGTTCTGGACTCATTGATTTTGAGGTTCTTTCAGGACATGTGTTTGGAGATGTTAAACAGGTATTTGGATATTGGATTTTGGAATTCCAGAGAGACGTCTGACCTAGAGTTGTGGGCTTACATCTAGGTTGAAGGTCAGTATTGAGGAAGGGTAGGAATTGGCAAAGGAACTTGTGGAGGAATTGTCAGCCAATTGGATGAGAACAGGAAAATGTAGTATCAGGACTCAGAGTTCAAGAATGAAGATGTTGTCAACAGTTTAAACGCTGCTGAGAGATCAAACAAAAGATAAAACTTAAAATGTACATTGGATTTAGTGACAGAGATTAGTTACCATTTCTAGAGATGTTTTAGAGGCAGAAACCTCTCTAAACTTGGGGGTGTCCAGGAGTATGTGGGATGTGAAGTCATGGAAATAGTGTTAGCAGTTCTTTCAAGTAGTTTAGCAATGAGAAGGAGAATAGAGGTTTGAGGGAATAACTCGAGAGATTTCTGGTCCATTGGATTTGTGGCTATGTGTGTAAGTTGTGAGATGGGAGAGACGTGAAGGTGTTTAAGTCTTCATGGGAAAAAAGTGTTAGAGAGGAGAAAGAATAATTGATAGTATAATCCCCCAAAAGGGCATGGACTCCAAACAACAGATACAGGAATTTTAAGAGTGGGAGGAGGCCGGAGACAAGGGAACATGGTGAGCGTAGATGTCAGTGGCTTTGTTGATTTGTTGGGAAGTTGAGGGAGTTCTCATTAGACAGGAGGCAAGGGCTTTCACTGGCTGTAGTCAGCATGGAAATGCAGGGATTAAGAGGGAGAATATTTGAAACAGTTGTGGAGAATGGGAGAGTAAGCCAAATAAGAAAGCTCCGTCAGTTTGCTGCCCATTTGAGGTTGAAAACCATGAATTCAGTAGCTGTATTTATTTCATTTTTTTAGAGATGGGCTTTTGCTCTATTGCCCAGGCTGGAGTGCAGTGAAGTGACAAGATCATGGCTCATGGCAGTCTTCACCTCCTGAGCTCAAACAATC